GTTATTGAAATTGGATAAATTGACATCCAAAGTTACATCCAGCTTTTCTATTATTTATTTTTTTTCCTTATTATTTTTTTGAGACACAGTCTCGCTCTGTCACCCAGGTTGGAGTGCAGTGGTGGGATCATAGCTCACTGCAGCCTTGACCTCCTGGTCTCAAGTGATCCCCCTGTTCGGCCTCCCACAGTGCTGGGATTACAGGTGTGACCCGTTGCACACGGGCAGCTTTTCTATTCTGCCAACATTTCTTTTGATGATAGGACAGGTGTTTTTCCATCATTTTCTTTTGGTTACATTAATGTCCTTGCCAAATGTAGTGCTTGTCTTACTACACTTAATTTCAGGAGTAAAAAAATCACCAAACTTTACTTATCTTCTGATACTGTGGCTTAAATCTATTGGACAGACATTTGTGCCTTTGGTTGAGATATAGAAAAAATTGAACAAATACTAGGGAGAGCAGAGTTTAAGGTTAAGCTAAAACTGAAAAAAATAAATAAAATAGTACTCAATCCTATCCGAGGCAAACTGATGTCACTCATTTGGATTGCAGCTATACAAGGTCACCCTATTTGACATCATTCTTTTTTGGTAACATTTTGCTCAATCTCCTATTCCTTTCTAGAAAACACCAGATTTTTTATTCATCAGCCTGCAGAACTCTTTCAAGTATTAAGACTAACCAAAATTTTGGATTGAATAGTGGGTTCAGAAGACTTCTGAACCTTCAAGATCAAATGGGAAGCCAATGGAAGATTTTAAAGCAGTTGTCCTTTCCCATTGCATTTCATGTTTTTCCCCCTTTTACATAGAATTTAGAGCGTTGCTTTCAGAAAACATACCTGGGAATTAATGAATGATTCAGGAGTGCTCTTCTAGAGGACGGAGTTCATTCTTTGTTTATCCAAATCATTATTTAATGATAAACAGATGAGGGGAGAGAACTTAGCATTAGTCCGGGTGCCAGCCAAGGGATAATTACAGTTAGCATTTCTGTAGTGTAGACGCTGATCTAAGCACTTTACACATAATTAAATCATTTGATCCTTGCAACAGCCTTATGAGAGGGGGTTTTGTTTTGTTACCTTCATGTTACAGGGGAAGAAATTAAGATCCAGGGAGGTTAAGAAACTTGTTCAATGTCACGCAGTTCTCAGGTGGCCGAACTAGGATTTGAATTGTAGGCAGACTGCTCCACAGTCTGTGTTCTTATCTACTGCACTATTTTGCCTCACATTGATCACTAGAACTAGAAGGATGGGGTAGCATGGACTAGCGGATAGAGCCAGGCCCCTGCCACCCCCATGGCAGCATCACTGTCACCACTATCACCAGCAGCAGCCTTAAATACTGTTGTGGGTTGAACCATGGCCCTCCAAAAGATATGCCCATGCTCTAAACTCTGGGGCCTATGGATGTGACCTTCCTTATCTGGAAAACGAATCTTTACAGATATAATTAAATTAAGGACCTTGAGATGAGGAGACCATCCTGGATTAGACAGGTAGACCTGAAATCCAATGAGAAGTATCTTTCTAAAAGAAGGGCGGAGGGATATTTGAGGCAGAAAGAAGAACACGGAGAAGAGGAAGTGGCAATGTGGCCCTGGAAGCAGAGAAGGAAGTGATAAGGCCATAAGTAAAGAAATGGTGACAGCCACCAGGAGCTGGAGGAGGCAAAGGGTGCCCCTCAAAACCTCCCAGAGGCTGAATGGCCCTGCTGTGTTTCAAACTTCTGGCCTCCAGGACTGTGAGAGAAAATATTTGTTATTGTAAGCCACCTAGTTTGTGGTAATTTACTACTTCAGCCTCAGGAAACTAACACAGATACTATATATTGGTAGAGTATTTTTTGGTTTCTAAAATGCTTTGGCATGCATACCTGGCTTCATTTCTACCCCCTATGGTTTAGTCTGGGGACCCAGATCCACCATGAAATGGCTGTGGGACTTTGTGCAAGTCATCAACCTCTCTGGCCTCTATCTTTTCATCTGTAAAATGAGGCAGGTAATGATGCTTGCACTGTGTCCCCCACCAAAGTACTGTGAAGGTTCAATGGGAAGACATGCTCATGGACTTGCTATACTGACAAGTTGTATTTGATGCTGAGCTCTTTTCACCTATCCTTGGGTGATAGCTCCCTCACTGCCTGGAAGAGGATATGGGCACCATAAACACACCTGGAGGGAGTGTGGGCCTGCTTCTGCCACCTCCTTCACCAGCATGGTGCAAGGCTGAGGGTGAGGGCTGGGCGTGGAGAGCCCGAGGCCACTGGGAGGCAGGACAGGGAGGGAAGTTTAACAAGACTGTGCTTTGCCATGGGTTCAGTCATCTTATGAGCTGAGGCTTGGTGTCCCAAGGCTGACTTCTCAAGAAACATTTGGTCTAAGAGCAGAAAGGCGGAAAGGTCTGTTCCCTATTAGCCCTTGTTCTCTGCGTGACCAGAAGCCAGGGACCACCCGTGAAGGTGTGAGTAGAAGTTCATTTTCCTGCTGACCTTTCAATCCAGAGCCTTTGGGTGATGATGGCTCTGAAAGGTGGTAATTAGTACTAATCGAGGTGATGGTTTTGTGAAGCTGACACCTATCCATTAGGAAATGGACTGAGGCCAAGGGACCAGCCACTCAACCGGGGGACAAAAAGCTAAAAAATCAATGCGTGGCCAAACTCTACACAATTAGTGTGCTCCTCCAACCATGCTTTAGTGCACAAAGAGAACCCTTGCAAGGATAGAAAATGGGAGCTCCAAGGTTGAATGCCACACTAAGCCTTGGAATAGAGACATAAACAATGACAAGGAAGAAGAGACACAGTGGGAGAGAGAAGAGGAATAGGGGGAGGGCAACTCGGTGTACTTTTATAAGGGACAGAATACACGCGGGCAGACGAGAATAGCACACATTAAGCCAAGGGCACTCACTCATCTACATTCAGTATAAAGCGATTTCCTGATTTTTCATGAGTTATGCCACTTGCATTCTATCAAATTTGTTTCCTGTTCCTTTACTCCAGTGAGTCTCCACAGATACCCAGAATTCTGCTAAAATTTGGCATCATCAAGGAGCAAAACCTTCACTCAGGTTATTGCAATAACTTTGTAACTTCTCTTTTCCTTATGTCCCATCCAAACCATCCTCTACACTTAAGCACAAGTGATTTTTTAAAAAGACAAATCTGAAAGTGTAACTCCCCTGCCTAAACCTTCCACTGGCTTGCAATTGCTGTTGTACTTAAGATAACACCTCAAGTTCCTAGCATGGCCTGCCACGTGCTCTGGCTGTTGCCTACCTCCCCAGGCGCTCTGGGTGCCGCTCTCCGCATCACTCTCCACCCTCCTTTCCACCGTCTGTTCTGGCTCCAAGTCTTCAAATAAGTCATTCATTCATGTAAATACAGTGTAAGTATGTATGTATGTAGACATATATGGAAGCAGATAACCAAGTTAGATATCCCTTTGACCAGAAAGCTCTTTCCCCTAAAATGTGTATGCCTAAGTGCAATTTTTTGTGCTTCTGACACACACAGAGGCCTTCTCAGACTCTCTCCCTTTAATTATGTTCCCTTTACTAATTTTTCATAATTCTCATAACATGATTTTCACCTTAATAGCTCTTACTACAAATTATATGTGTGTGTATGATTCATGTGTATATGTATATATTCATATTAAAAGATCAACTACTATTAGCTTTTAAACTGATGTAAGAGTCTTTAGAAATAGGCAAACAGGTTAGAAACACTTTTCTTCCTTTTTTACTTCCTTCCTTTTCTTTTTTCCTTCTCTTTGCTTTGTTCTTTTCTCTTTTTTTTCAATACAGGTGTAAATATAGAAGGGAGGATCATATATATATGTATATATGGACATTTATAGATTCCTATATGTATATATGTACATGAATCATGGTTTGCCTTTTTACTCCTCCACTAAATTGTTAGCTCTAAGAAGTGCGACATGTATGCTTTGTTCTCTGCGGTAAATTCAGTGCCCCAACCCCAGATATTCTGGGATTTGACTGGTCAGGGGTGGGGTGGGGTCTGAGCACTCGCGCTTATTGAAAGTTCCTCAGGTGGTTCTCATGTACAGCCGAGTGGAGAGCTGTTTATCTAACCTAGCTCCATCATTTTAAGAAGGAAGGAGCTGAGGCCCCGAGAGGTCACCTGACTTGGTCAAGGTCTCTTGGAGCTGGCTATTAGCAGATTGAGACAAGGATCCAGTTCTTGTAGAGCCTGGTCTCTTTGCACACTATAATGTCCTTTCACTTAAGTTGGAGAAGCTTTGTCACTGAGTAGAGAAAGGTTTCTTTCAGATCTTTGCATTCTTGGAGGATGACTAACTCATGTTTGTTAGCCTGGGACTTTCCAGGTTTCAGCACTTTAGGTCTTGTGGGTCTCAGGTAAAGGAAACAAAACTATGCCGCTCCAAAATATACTTCTTTGGCATATTTTGATATGACTGTTCACCGGAACTGCAAACCACAGGAAAAGCTTTGAAAAGCTTTTGGGGATGGGGGGGCGGGGAGAGATTTGCATCTGTAGAGGAAATCTACATTAGTGAAATGAAGTTAACAGCAGATGCAAACAGGGTTTTCTGAGGCCTCCCTTATCCAGATCTAGGAAAGATTAAATCACAGGAAAGAAGGACTAAAATTCTGACACTTTAAATGGTCTGACAGATAAAGCTTTACCACATAAGAACAGGATACTGTCTGTTGTTTCTGAGGGCTGCTACCCCTGGGGCTCTATCTGCCTAACGAGATAGCCTTTGCTTACCATGCCTTTTCTCCCTCTTCCTCCAGTAACTTGGCTTGCCATGCCCCCAAACCTCTATTCCTTGCTGTATGGCCTATAACCTTCAGCCATCTGGCTCTCCATTGAGTCTCATACTTTGTGTGTGGCTTCTGTGTCCATATGCACATCAATAAAATTTGTATACTTTTTTCTTCCTGTTAATCCACCTATTGTTTGTTTTATAGACTCAAATTATTGAAACTTCAGAAGCAAGAGGGAAAGAAATTCTCTTCATCCCTACACAGGCAAGCTGAGATGGTTGGCATCACTGTTTGCACAATCACTGAGTCCAAGTTAGGAAAGAGAAGCAATGCCATGCAGTGATTGAAACCCAAATTCTGAAGCTGGACTCATCTAGGCTTGAACCTGACTTGTCAATTAGATGATTACCTTAGGCAAACTTCAGTTTCTTTATCTGTAAGAAGGGAGAAATAATGTTATATGCTTCAAACAGTTGTGAAGATGAAATTAGCTAATATTTATAAAGCACTTAGCACAAAGCCTTGTTCATAGTAAAAGATCAATTATGGTTAGCTTTTAAACTGATGTAAGAGTCTTTAGAAATAGGTAAAAGGACAGATACATTTCTTCCTTTTCTCCTTCCTTCCTTTTTTTCTTTCCTTCTCTGTTCTTTTTTCTTTTAAAGTACAGGTGTAAATATGAAAGGGAGATGTGTTTCTGAAGGTCTAGCAATTACTAGAGCACTAAAATACCTCTTTTTTTTTTTTTTTTTTAACCAGCCCTCATTACTGCCTGTCAGCTCTAAATGCCACCCAGACATTTCTAGGTAGTGCAATTTTGTCCTGCCAAGTGAAAGCATTTCACGGCGCTCAATCATTAGGCAGCTATTTAAAACAACTTTCTTTCAGAGCTTCTCCTTCCCTTGGGCATTCATGCTGAAGACTCTGTCAAAGTGCCTATTTCCTGGAATCTGGCTTTAGCAGACTTCCCAGAGGTTGGTACACCAGACTAATCATTTTTCTAAGGCGGCACTCGAGTCCTCAGGATACCAGTTGAATCTGATCCACATGGTAGCTCTGGGAACACAAAATGCTAATGATGTGGAACTTAGGGCACTGATATTTATTCTTTTGTTGTTTGCTTATTTATTTATTATCTGTGCAGGCCAACCTAAAGATAAATTTGGGACCAGCCTCAAACGAGGTAATTGGAGTGTTCATTCAGTAGTCTCAGCTTGCTTGCACTGGCCATCTTTATGTCTTTAGTGAGTCCATATTAGAAATGATGGTGTCTTTGTAGAAGGATGAACTAAGCAGAAACGTAGAAAAATCAGACGTTTTGAGATTCAGCTTTGAAGATAACCTTCTCCAATTCCTGAGAGTATTGCTCATTTAATACTTGGTTACACTGTAACATTTTGCAATCCACCAGGAAATCACTCTAACAGTAACTGCTCATCAAACAGTGACAAGAGGATTTGGGGAAGGCAAACAGCTGCAGATTCAGATGTGGGAGGGAGGTGGGCAGGTGATGGGGGAATGAATCTTGGGTGTCCACGTGCCAGGGAGAGGCTCATCCAGGAACGACACTCCAGGGTGACTGACAGTCAGTGGAACTTGCCATTCTAATCAGCAATAAAAAGGAATGAGCTGTTGCCATACACACAACAGGGATGGATATTAAGATAAATGTGGTGAGAGAAAGAAGCCAGACCAAGAAAAAAAAAAGCACCTACTGCCTTTCATTTATATACAATTTTAGAAAATGGAAACAATTCCACTGTGACAGAAAGCAGATTAGTAATTGTCTGTGACTGCACTACCACCATTCAACCTGTTTCTTAGGTCAGTAACTGGGCATCACCTTGAATCGTCCTTCTTGCTCTCACTCCCGGCCCCCATGACTCAGTGGACAAGCCCTAAAGAGTCTACCTTTTAAATTTTGTTGGTAATCACCCTTTTCTCACTATTGTCATGGTCACTTTCTTAGGTCAAATCTTTTTACAGCTTCTCTATTTGTTATTCGTAGTAGTCTCTAACTGGTTCCCTTCCCTCTATTTCCTACCTATTCTAATTTATCCTTCATTCTGTTTTAAGAATAACCATAAAATGTTTTCCATCTTTAAATATAAAAAAATTATAAAATATTTTAAAAATCATTTAAAATGTGCATAGAATTACAAACACCTCAGTGCCTATAACCCAGGATTAAGAACTGTTCACATTTTGGAATTTCTCTTTTGTATATTATTATAAAAGGAACTTCTCTTTTAATGGAACCATCTTTGCTCTACTTCCCATCTTCTACGCCACAGGTGCTCCTCAGTTTCCAATACTGTCATGTATTTGTATATATCTATTCAGCTCAAGTTGTGTACTTTTACTAAATATATGTATTCCTGTTTAAAAATTAAATAAGTGGTATAATATTGTATATGTCATTCTGCAACTTGCTTTATGACAAGTGTTGATAACTATGTGTGCTGATATCGATGAAGATGAAACTGACTCTATACTGCTATATAATATTCTCTTACTACATTATACGTTATGCATTATCTTGTGGGTGGGGCATTTATGCTGTTTCTAGTTTTTTGCTGTTAATAGAATTTTAGAAATAAATATCCTTGTGTATGTCCTTGTAGTGAGCTGAATGATGTCCTCAAAGATATGTTCATGTCCTAATGCCTAAAATCTGTGAATATCACCTTATATGGCAAAATATGTTATTAAGTTAAACATCTTAAGATGAGGAGCTTATTCTGAATTATCTGGGTGGGTTCTAAATACAATCACATGTGAGAAAGAGAGGAAGAGGGAGGTTCAATATCACACATGCAGAGGAGAAGGCAGTGTGAACATGGAGCAGAGATGCAGCCATAAGCCAAGGAAAGCCGATAGACACCAGAAGTGGAAGAGACACGGAATGCATTCTCCCACAGGGCCTTTGGAGGGAGCTCAACCCTGCTTCACCTGCATTTCAGGCATCTGGCCTCCCGAGCTGTGAGAGAATATTGTTTTAAGTCAAACAAACTTGTGGTAATTTGTTATGGCAGCCACAGGAGCTAATACAGTCCTGTATTACATTGTACAGTAATTTTCCATGGATTTAAACTTACGAGTCACAGGGCATGTGCAATTTCCACTTTATTTAGATATTTAGTGAGTGTGCTATTTGCAATTGCAAAACTATGGAACCAGCCTAAATGCCCATCAATTAACAAGTGGATAAAGAAAATGTGGTAGATATATACCGTGGAATACCACTCAGCCATAAAGAGGAACAAAATAATGGCATTCACAGCAACCTGGATGGAATTGGAGACTACTATTCTAGGTGAAGTAACTCAGGAATGGTAAACCAAACATCAAATGTTCTCACTCATAAGTGGGAGCTAAGTTATGAAAATTCTAAGGCATAGGAATGATACATTGGACTTTAGGGACTTGAGGGAAAGAGTGGGAGGGGGATGAGAGATAAAAGACTACACATTGGGGACAGTGTACACTGCTCGGGCGATGGGTGCACAAAAATCTCAGAAATCACAGTTGAAGAACTTACTTATGTAACTAAACATGACCTGCTTCCTAAAAACACATTGAAATAAAAAATAAATTTAAAAAATAAAATAAGCTAAAAAGAGTGCAAAATAAATTTTAAAAAGATATTTAGCAAGCGTGCTAATATTTTATTTTATTTTTCAAGACATGGTCTCACTCTGTCACCCAGGCTGGAGTGCAGTGGCATGATCACGGGTTCCTGCAAACTTGACCTACTGAGCTCAATGATCCTCCCACCTCAGCGTCCCGAGTGGCTGGGACCACAGGTGCACACAACCACACCTGGCTAATTTTTGTATTTTTTGTAGAGATGGGGGTCTTACCACATTGCCCAGGCTGGTCTCAAACTCCTGAATTCAAGCAATCATCTCACTTCAGCCTCTCCAAGTGTTGGGATTAAAGATGTGAGTCACCACTCCCAGCCACAAGTGTGTTAATTTACACTCACCAAAGCAGAGTGTGCTCCTTTCCATTTCCCACATCTTGGCCAATTGTTGATACTGTTGGACTTTAAAGTCTTTGCCAATCCAAAGTGTGTAAAGTAGTATTTCATTATTATTTTACTTGCATTTCCCTGATTACATGTGAAGCTGATAATATTTTTGTATGATTCTTGGTCATGTAGATTTCCACTTCAGTGAGTTTCCTGTTCATAGTCTCCACTCATTTTTTTGTTTTGTTTTGTTTATGTTTTTCTTATTACTTCGGTGGTCCTTTACATTTGCAAATACTAATCCTCAGTCTGTCACTTATGGTTCAAATATTTTCTGTAAGTCTGTAGGTTGTCTTTTAACAATGACATCATTTGAGGTAGAGAAACTTTACATTTTAATTAAATTTTTATCAAAAATTTCAATTAAAGTTTTATCAAAATTTTAAAGATTTACCAAACTTGTTCTTCATAAGTCATACTTTTTTTTGTCTTGTCTAAGAAATCATTCCCTACCTTCAATTCATGAAGATTTTCCTATTAAATGTATACACTGTCTTAAAGTCCTATTTTTCACATTTGATCTTTAATTTATTCAGAACTTTGTATTAGTCTGTTCTTGGATAGCTATAAAGAACTATCTGAGACTGGATAATTCATAAAGAAAAGAGGTTTAATTGGGGCATGGTTCTGCAGGCTGTACAGGAAACATGGCTGAGGAGGCCTCAGAAAACTCACAGTTATGGCAGAAGGCAAAGGGGAAGGAGGCACATCTTACATGGCTGGAGCAGGAGAAAGAGAAGACAAAGGGGTAGTGTTACACACTTTTAAACAACCAGGTATCATGAGAACTCACTATCATGAGAACAGTAAGGAGGAAATCTGCCACCAAAATCCAATTACCTCCCAGCAGGCCCCTCCCCAAGACTGGGGATTACAATTTGACATGGGATTTGGATGGGGCCAAAAATCCAAACCATATTATTCTACCCTGGCCCCTCCCAAATCTCATGTCCTTCTCACATTGCAAAATACAATAATCCCTTCTCAACAGTCCCCCAGGTCTTAACTCATTTCAGCATTAACTCAGAAGTCCATCTGAGGTTGGCCATGGTGGCTAATGCCTGTAATCCCAGCACTTTGGGAGGCTGATGTGGATGGATCACCTAAGGTCAGGAGTTCGAGACCACCCTGGCCAACATGGCAAAGCCTCATCTCTACTAAAAATACAAAAATTAGTCAGGCGTGATGGCAGGCACCTGTAATTCCAGCTACTCAGGAGACTGAGGCAGGGAGAATTGCTTGAACCCAGGAGGTGGAGGTTGCAGTGAGCTATCATGCCACTGCACTCCAGCCTAGGCGACAGAGTGAGACTCCTTCTCAAAAGAAAACCGAAAAAGCAAAAATGAAAACAAAGCCTCATAAAACAAAGTCTCATCTGAGACAAGGCAAGTCCCTTCTGCC